ATATGCTATTTTACACTGTATAATATTTACAAGCAAATTCTATACATGAATTTAATAGACAGACTTCTCTTATTGATTGCAACATCAATTATTTAGTAATCCTCACCCTTAAAGCATGRCAAAACATGCAAAACTCCCCAAATCCTCTACCCCCAAGTTCAAACTTGTCATCACCAATTTTTACAAGTAGTAAACAAAAGTCTTTGTAGTCAACAACAACTATTAAGATAAAATATTAGGAAAAATGAATGCTTTGGGACAATACATAATGATGTCAGAAATGTCAGGCATAATTACATGAAAATAGACAAGTGGACAAACAGCACAATTGATTATAATAAAGACAATGGCACAAAGTTGACTGCATCAATTGCATTGATTTATGTGTAATTCCGACTCTCAACATCTGGAATTCTATGACGTACRCATATAGCAACAGTATAAAATTCAAAATATTTCATATAAGATACTTTCAAAAATATACACAAGAAAGTATTCTAAAAAAAGGATTTTAGTATGAGGACCACAGTTACCATCATAAAGAAGCATCMTTACCTTTGAATTTAAAGAAGTAGTGTACTCCATCAATTACAATTCCTTCCTTTTTGATGATTTCTTTTTGCTTTTTGAGACTCRCTATCATGGAATGGAGATTTTCTCTGGAAACACCAATRCATTGTAAATGYATATTGCACTTGTTTTGCAAAAGGTTTGGGTATGGCAAACAAATTGAATCATTAGTTACCTGTTTWCTTTGATGTTGGCAATTCCAACAGTGTGTACTGACAATGCACTTTGAGATGATAAATATGGATGTACCTTTGGTATAACACCAATGCTTACTTGATCTTTTCCTATGACAATAAAAGGGCAGGTTAAAAGATTAAAATACTTTCACATATTTGTATTTAAAGCAAATAAATATTACATAGATTTCAATTATTTTATATGATGCACATTCTGATAGGGGAAACAAACAAGAAAAACTATAACACTTTTATTTATGATAATCATTTCAGAAATTGAATATGCTCTCTGAGCAGGCAGGGGTGTGAGCCAAAAATCAACTGGAAAGTAGATGATCATTTTTTGTTTTTAGTTCTCCTGAGTAATGAAAGCCAT